CGAACGTTCCTCTCTTTTAAACGACACTCTGGTCTCGCATACGATACGATCCTCCTAATTCGAATTCGGCTGTGGACAAAGTTGGAATATATTCAATGGAACGACAAGTTTACCTTTATTTATCGAAATTCAAAAGTTAAACAAGTTTGATCGGATCGATCTCCTCCCTGCCCTGCAAGAACAAGAATCCCTTGTTTCTCCTTGCGTGACGAGAACTGGCAAGAACTTGCACGGCCATTTCCCCTTCCGCGGTTTCCGCTAATTTTGCAACTAATTAAGTAACCGTGGAGGTCGATGGGATTGGGGGGTGGCGGCGTGCGCGCGTCAGAGAGAGAAGGGTTTGGAAACACCCCTTTGAAAGGGGAATTTCGACTAACCAGACGGAGAAACCGCAGCCAACGGTTGTGCCGTTTCGTTGTCGTGTGTTTGTAGTTTGTTGGCAGGAAAATTGAAAATTTTTATATCTTTCGATGGTAAAAAAATCCGATTCGTGGAAAAGTGCACGCTCTGCGAAGAAAAAAATATTGCGCGAATTGAAAACGTGAATGAGAATAATATAACAATAGTACACTTGATAAGGGATGATCAAAATTGGTAAAAATCGCTATGAGAAAAATGAGAAAAATGAGAAAAAGTAGCACGATTAACTAAAATTTCGCGAGAAAAATGTAAAAAGATAAACTGTATCGTAACTCGTGCAGACACGTGGAAGCGAAAAAAAAAGAAAAATACGCCAAACTATTAACGACACTTCTCGGGAAGAGAGAATTTTCGTGGCAAGTGGATAGTGACGAAAACCGCGGCTTTCCATTGTGGAAAATGTTCGAATTCAGGAATCGGTCTGATTCCAGACCGTATTAATGCGTACAAGCACGTAAAAACGAAATTACACGGAGGGCGCTCATGAATTTTAATGGCGAGCCTGTGATCCTGAATCGCAATGCTCGACGGTGTGTACACACCGGCCATTTGAATAACGTTTATGTCGTCGATTATACGTGTGTCTACGAGCTTTAATAGGTTCGCGGGCAGCGTTTCTCAAACTGGAACGCGAAGAGATTCGCACCTGCATTCAACAACAAGTTTCTTGGCTCGTGGTGATGGTGTACACGATGATGGTTGTACACGATTATGCTTTAACGTAGGATTAAATGAAATTCAACGATAACTCGAATCGAGAATATTAGAACGTATATACGGAGGATAGGAAAATTGGTATTTGGATTACGTGAAAATTGTAATAACGCCATTTATTATCGCTTCGAAGTTACGCGCGTAGAACCGCACTCGATGGGAATAATAATTTGCCTTAAAATTCGATTAAATCGTAATAAAAAGTAGGAAAAAATTCAAACCGCTGTATCTCCGAAAGTAATAACTCCCGGTCGTTGAACGAAAGACGGTTAAAAACACGGAACTTTGCTCTTCAAAACGCTTTTTCATTCGTCTCAATTCGACTTCCGGTTCCGGAGATATCGTCCTACAAAGAAAAGATAATTTTCAATCGTTTACTTAAACTCTCGAGCAAACCCTATTAAAATTACGAAAACTTTAAACCGCTATAACTCGGAAGATGGTAACTTCCGGTCAATAAACGAACGATCGTTGGAAGCGGAGAACATTCCCCTTTGAAACTCTTTTCGAATTATCTCGATT